GCACATAACAACAACAACATAACCTACAGTTTTGTGAGGGAATGACAAGTGTCACAGTTTCTAATGGAGACAGTGGTGATTAAAGGGACCAGAGAAAATTCTAAGCTGATAAAGAAGCAAAATAACTATTAGGTTAAACTGAAAGCTTTTTTCATTGTCTCTAGTGGAGAATGGAGCTCTGGAAGACTAATGGTGGTTCAACTCAACCAGCCACTCTTAAGAAAAACAGGCAATCTCCTCTTATGGAATTTACAGTCTCTGCAAGCCTCCACAGCTGAAGGGTCAGCTATGGGTTTGTTCTGCTGACATGGGACCAACAGTAATGAGTTTGCTTCTCCTGGCAGATCAAGATCATGGCAGCTAAGAAATATTTTAACAAGAAATATTTAAGGAACTGCCTTAGAGGAGATAGATTTTGTTTTATATCTCAGATGGGATAAAGTTACAGGAGTATATACTACCTACCTAATGCAAAGAAAAACAGAGACAAGATGGTCACTGGTACAAGTGAAAGCACATTCACATGTTGAAGACCATCTAGGAATAATTTTGACTGCCAGATTATCAAAACTGCAATAATAAAGACTATGGATAATAAGCATATCAGGTACAGTTATGAAGGGTAGAAAGAAAATTTTCTTCCTTTCCTGTTGTGGGAAGAGAGATGCCTACTCCTACCTTCTCCCCCAACAAAGAGCATATTTAGATATATGCTGAGGATGGCTGTCATCTGATTCCCTCATATATTCTTAAAAAGGAATAAATTCTTATTGCCATTTGTTATGGCTATTGTGATTATCTTCAGAAAATTTCAGAGATTTCTAGAAAAAGAAAGCAGTAAAATCAGAATCACATGTCTTCATGTCATAAAAAGCTTGAAACATGAGATAAGATCATCAGATAACATGTGACTAAAGTTACATAGAACTTCTCATTATACACAAAGCTTTTATAATGTATAAATAAATACAGATACTAAGAATGTAAAGACAGAGACTGCCTTGAGGGTGAAGCAGTCCAGTAAAAATTAAAAAAAAAAAATTTATCCTATCTAAAGTCTATCCTTGAACTAGTAAATGTCTATCCTGAAATACTTTTTTGGTCTGTGATAGGACAATCCACATGCTTACAAGGAAGAGCTGTTAATACTGTTGCTAAGACCACTTAATACTGTTGCTGAGTTGACAATGACTCATAGTAACCCAATGAACAACAGATATGAATCCAGCCTTACCCTGTGCCACTCTCATGATCTCTAATATTCTTGATCCCATTGTTACACTTAATGTGTGAATCCATCTGCTTGGGGCTCTTGTCTTTCTCTGATCCTCCACCTGTCCCAGTATGCTATCTATTTCCAAGTTTTGGCTACTCCCAACAACATGCACAACGTATGGGAGATGAAGTTTCATTATCTCTGTCCATATGGACCACTCTCATAGTGTTTCCTCTGAAACAGAGCTGTTTAATCTTTTGACAGTCCATACTGTATTCAATATTCTTCAGCAAAATCTCAATTCAGAACTCAAAGTAAAACCTAGAGCATATCATACATGAATTTAAGACCACCTCAAAAAATAGGTAAGATGCACTGAATACTAAATTGCCAGAGACCCTATGAATTGTGGGGTGACATCAGGGATATCATATGAAGAAAGAAAAAGGTCATTAAAGACTAAGAAAGAAGAAAGATCACAACTGTTTTCCAAAGAGATTTTGAAACTTGCTCTTGAATGTAGAGCTTTATTTAAAACTAAAGGCAGAAAGGATAAAATAAAAGAGTTGAACAGAAGCTTTCAAAGTGTGGCTCAAGTAGACAATGTACTATGAAATGTGAAAATAGCTGGAATAAAGAATATATAGAGTAACTGCATCTGAAAGAATTGGTGGACATTCAACCACTTCAGGAGGTGGTACATGATAAGGAACTGAGGGTTTTGAAAGAAGTCTAAGCTGCACTGAAGGATTTGATAAAGGGAATTCCGTAGAATAAGAAACTGGACTAACTTCAGAAGACTACTGCATAAGAAATGAAGGAAGATGCATCAACAACCTGCAATATGTAGACAATAAAACGTTGCATACTTTGAGTACCAAAAGAGATTACCAATGAAGATCAAACAATATGGCCATTAGTAGCAGTTACACTTCAACATAAAACCAAATATCCTTAAGCTGAATTAATAAGCAAAATAATGATAAAATAAACCAGTGAAGTTATCAAGGATTTTATTTCACTTGGATCTATAATCAGAGAAGTACTGCATAGAGTAAATAATGCTGCAAAAGACCGATATAAAGTATTTAATAGCAAAGGTAACATTTCGCCTGACCCAGCCAGTCATTTATCTGATTTGCAGAATTGTTTTTGTTGTTGTGTTGTGTCTTTGAGTTCAAACTAACCCATAGCTGACCCTCCAGCAGGATTTCAGAGGCAATTAATTGCACATGGAACATCTGGTGGATTTGAACTTCATGCCTTTAGAATTGTAGTACAGCTTCATTCCTCTGGGCCACCAGAGCTCCCAATATGCATGAATAAGGAAGACCAAAAAATAGCTTGATGCCTTTGAATTTGAAGCTGGTGAAGAATATTGAATAGATTCCATAGATTACTAGAAGAATAGACAATCCATCTTTAAAGAAATATTGCTAGAATATTCTCTAGATGTAAGAACAGTGAGATTTCATTTCAGGTACTTTGGACACATTATCATGAAGTTCTAGAACATAGACAAAGAGATAATACTTGGAAAAGTAGAGGTGCTGAAAAAAAGAAAGATCTTCAATAAGATAGTCACAGATGGCTGCAAAATTTGGCTCAAAAATAGCCATGATGATTATGAGGAATGTGAAAGACAGTAGTTTTATATAACGTTGCTACCAATGGTCACTGACTTGATGGTACCTAATAACAAAAATAACAACTACTGCTAATAATTCATATGGGAAAAATTCTGGAATTGTGTAAAAAGTAGAATAAATATTACTTCTTTTCTGATAATCGAATCAATGAAAATAAAATTTAATAGTCATGTAATATCGAATAAAGTAAAAGGGTGATGGCAGATAAACATACAGGGGAAATGACTGTACACAGTTATACAGCCTGTTACTGATTTATTATTAGTTTGGAGTTACTGAATAGGCAGTAAAAATGAAAGAAAGCAAAAAAAAAACCAAAAACAACAAAAAAACCAATATGAAAGAAAGCATGAGCTACAAAAAACTTGCAGTCACTGGTTCCCCACTAGGGTTATTCATTAGAATCATCTGGAAGAATTTTTGTTTTAAGTCGCATTTCAAAACCCATGTCAAAAATGGAATAAAAGTCTTACTTGCCCTGGTTGAAATCTGGAGTTTCCACAGTAATTCTGTGTATCTCTGGTTAACACAAAGGTTTCATGTTTAAAAAAGTTTAGTTCTCAAAACAGTTTTTTTTGTGTGTGTGTGGCCAACAATTTGGTATTAGATAAAGTTTGGAATCAAACAGAGTTGCACTCTATTTCTGCCACGTACTAGCAGTATAACCCTGGATGACTTTTCAGCATCTGAGTTAACTAATTTGTAAACTGGGGATACTATCAATACCTAATTCACAGAACTGGTGGAGAAGTCAACATACAAAAACTATACTGAATGATGACTGGCACACATCAAGCACACAATAACAGGTCTGACTTGGAGGGGCAGGTTTCTCCTTGGAGGCAAGGATTTTGAAGCTCTGTTTCACATACTTTGGGCACGTGGCCAGGAGTGATAAGTCCTTGGAGAAGGAGACCATGATCGGAGGGGTGGAGTGACAGAGTTGGAAAAGAAGTCCCCAGATGGGATGGAATGACATGGTAACTAGGGAAACAGAAATAGGTGTGTCAGAGTCAGTGAGACTGGCTCATGATAGGGCAGGGTTCAGAGGTATAGCTTCTTAGGGTCACTACGAGTTATAGGTGACTCAATGGCACATAACAACAACAATTACATACCATTATTAATAAAAATAATACAAGTTAGAGGCCTGATTCAGTAGACAAAGATTCTTTAACAATTGTTAGAGGATAGAGGTTCATCTCCTCTTAAGTTGTGCCACACTAACCAGCAGAAGATGTGTCCTTTCCCACAATCCACAGCAGGTGCTCTCAACAATGGAAAGCTGAGGGAGTCAGATCCAGAAGTATTTGATCCTTGTTTTGTTAATCTGACAGCTCGTTCACAGCCAGGCGTAGGACACCACTTAATGGCAGGATTATTTTCAACAAAAGCCTGTTCAAAAAGCAGAAAGAAAATATAGCAGAAATGTTTTAACTGTAAATTCTAGTAGGGCACATCTATAGCAACTTATGTTAAAGATAAAAAAAAAATAAAATGGCGAGATATGTCCCAAGAAATACTTAAAAAAACATTTTAGAGTATGAAAAATCTTCATAAAATGGGAGAACTACAGTTATTTTAGTAATGACAAGATTTTAAGAATTTATGTAAAGATAAGACTTTAAAAATTTATATAATTACAAGACTTAAAAAAATTTATATTTTCTTTAATGTAAAACCAAGTTGTTGCTGTTAGGTGTCCTTGAGTTGACTACAACTCACAGTGCCTTTATGAACACCAGATAGGAATCTAGCTTTATGCTGTGCCTTCCTCTCGATCTTGGACATGCGTGCACTGGTACAGTCCCTGTGTCAGTATGTCTTGTTGAGGATCGTCTTCTCTTTTCTTTGACGCTCTACCTTTCCCAGCATGCTGTCCCAAGGACTGGCTGACTCCTCCTGACAACACCATCCTTGCATCTAAGAAGTATCCCGACTGCACTTCACTGAAGACAGGTTTGTTTGTCCAGTGGGCAATCAATGGCATATTCAATACTATTCGCCAACACAATTCAAAGGCACTGTTTCTTTTTCAGCCATCCTTATTCATTATCCAACTTTTAAATGCATAGGAAGCAAGTGAAAAATACCATGCCTTTGATCAGGTATACCTTAGTCTTTATACAAACATTGCTGTTCTTTAGCACTTTAGAGAAGTTCCTGGCAGCGCATTTTCCCACGGTGACATATCTTTTGATTTCTTGACTGCTGCTATAATGGGCACGGATTATGGAGACAGGTAAAATTAAATCACTGACAACTTTAATCTTTCCTCTATCTAGCATGATGCTGCTTATCGGTCCAATGGTGAAGACTTGTTTTCTTGACACTGAGATGTAATCCATATTAAAGGCTGTTGTCTTTGATCTTCCACAGCAAGTGTTATGTAAGACCTTTACACCTGCAGCAACCAAATTGTATTTTCTCCAAAACATGTTGATGTTGATGACTCATCCTCCAATCCTGATGCCACATTCTTCTTCATGAAATCCAGTTTTTCAAATAACTTACTCAGCATACAGACTGAATATGTATAGAGAAAGAAGACAACCCCAACACACTTCTCTCCTGATTTCAAAGCAAGCAGTATTCCCTTGTTCTGTTCAGACAACTGATTCTTGGTTGCGAAAAAGGTTCAATTCATTTTGGTACCGTGTCTCTGTGTGTTCCTTTCATGTTCTTTTGAGGCTTCATGATTTAAGATTTTCCTCATACACTCCTTCATTACTGAAACTTGAAGCTTGAATTTGTTCTTAGGTTCTTTCAGCTTGGTAAACGCTGAGTGTGCTGTTCCCTTTTTGTTCTTCGTATATAATACTTAGCTTTGTCATCCCAAGTTGCCCTTTGAAATACTGTGTTAATCTATAAATGCAATTATTTACATAATGAACATAAAATTTAATATCTTCTCATTCAGTGTGCTAATTTTCTGATGAAGTATAATTATTAATATAATATTGATTACTATATGAATTATTAGAAAATTCCAATATGGAATCCTGCTAATACATAAAAAACAGTGATGTAGTACTCGCTACAGTCAAGAAATAATAGCACATTTTTGTTTCTTAAAATTTATGTATTAGAGAATAAACCAGGATAATCTGCAAAGGGCAGTTAAAATGTACCTTTTTTTTCTTTTATTTTATTTGTGTATTTGTGTGTGTGTGTGTGGTCAAAGCAATCTGACTGGTATAGGATGAGATTGTCCTTCCTTCTTGGCAGAGCATCTGGTGGATTTGAACCGTGCACCTCAAGGACTGCAGTACAGCTTCTTGCCACTAGGCCACCAGAGCTCACCAAAATATACCTTTTAAATGTCACAAAAGAAGAAATAACTTCTGAATAAAAATAGGAAAACAAGGATAAAAAGCTTAATTCATGATAAGAAACTACCATTGGGAAATAAACAAAAAATCTCAAGTTGATAATTTTTATTTCTAAGTACCTATACTTAGGAACAGAAAATATAATAAGTTTGAGGAAAGTTGCACATTAATAAAACTGAAATAGGCAAATAAATTAGTTTTTATTCTGAGCAGTAATTTTATTAGTAAACTTCTAATTATGTATTTTAGTCTTAACTTTCCTTCTATGATCATAAAATAATACAGAGTAATATGAAATAATAGAGCCTTAAGGGCACAGTCCAGAGAGAGGTGCACTGGTAATCCACAGGCTGAACTTCTCTGGTGGGTTGAAGTTAACGTAGTACTGGAAACAAGTCGACTGTCAGCTCTATGCCAGAAAAGACTCATTGGCAATGACAGAGATTATACAATAATGCTTTAGCCTTTATAGTGTTGTTTTTTTTTCCTAATCATTTTTAAATCGTGATTTGAGTGGAAGTTCACAATGGAAACTAGTTTTATATTAAATAGTTACCATTTATTTTGTTCTTTAATATTAATTACAATATTAATAATGTATTCACTTTATCCTGAAAATTCTCATTTTCATTAACCTTTCTTTCCTACTTCTTGCCTTATGAGCTTTATCCTTGTTATTATAAGGAGTAAGTGCCTCTCCCCAAATGCTAGTTTTGTTCTAGGTTCAAAGGGTAACCACAAGCTCTAGTCTTGAGAGTCTTCCAAGTTTCTATCAGACCAGCAAGCCAGGATTTTATGTCTTAGTTTCATTCCAGACTTCCTCACCATCCCTCAAACCCCTCATTTTACACACGATCTTCTACTGCGTGGTAGTTGTCTGGACACCATTTGGTTCTTCTGCTCTCAGAATCATTGACTAGATGTTCGAGTAGAGTACTTGTTTCAGTACATCTTTGTTTTTGTTCCCTCCTTTTTTTTAAATTCCAGACAGCAAATGATCAACAGTTGTACCGTAGATTACTTCTTACAAGTTCTTAAGACCACCAGTTGCTACTCGTCAGAGGAGGATGCAAAGCATTAGCTCTGTGTACAATGTTCTGCCAAGTGACCTTGAAGTTCCAAGGTCCCAAAAACTGCAGCTTTAAACTTTAATACCATTATCCTTTTAGTTATTTTTTGAGAAGTAAAGTCAGAGACTAAGATTTTATGTTTTCAAAGATAATATTTAAAAGTACATATACTCTGCTTTATAGGTTTAATAAAATAACTAAGATATCAGATAGATAATTGTCTATATACCTTAATATCAAACTGTAGATAGCGTTTGTCCATCTCTTTAGAAACTACACTTTCTATGATATCCACAGGCACAAGTTGGAAACAATCATATGCAGGGCAGAAAATATTGTGAGCTTCACCTTCTTGAATTTTTAAATTCAAAAACCTATTAAAATCATTGACAGAAAAAGAGTAAGGATAAAATGTATTTGTGCATCATAAGAAGTTATTTGTTATTCTAAACTGTATGTTACCATGTATGTGCCAATGAAGTGCCTGAAATATGTAGAGTGCATCAATTATCACATATTCAGCCACAGAATTCCCAAACATTATTGAATATTTACTACTTGAGCAGCTATTATTATGCATATATTTCCTATTTTCCTGTAGTATTTCTAAAAATGTGAAACAATACATTTTAATATTAAAAACTCAGAAATGAGCTACTTAGAAAAATCACATTAAATTCTCATTTTTCCTATAGCTTTAAATAAGAATGAACAATAGAGCAGAACTAAACTATAGTTGAACCAAGAGCTTCTATAGTGTCGGTAGAATGCAGCATAGCATCATAATTCCTTTAAAAGAATATTAAATGTTATGTACCAACTAGGCATACAAGTAACGGGAGTAGGAAAAAGTAAAACTAGAAAGTGATTGTAACAATTAAGTGGAGAAGAGCAGGATTTTGAATTTAAATACTCCGGTCTACTACCAAAATGCTGTATGGCTTCAAGCAACTTATTTTATCTTCCTGACCCTGAGGGTTTTGTTTTTTCTAAGCTAATAGTTTATTATGAAAATACAGTTTAATACTTCATTAAAAGTAGTGCCTTTGAAGAATATAAACCATGTCACAATTTATGCAGAAGATGTTAAACAGGAACTTAAGACACTATGTAATAAACAGTAGCTGAAAACACAACATTATTGACAAAAAAGCAAACAATTATGTCCATGTCCCAATAGTCTGTATATTTTTAAAAAGTACTTTAGGGAGCTCTGGTGGCCCAGTGGCAAAAAGCTGCACTGCAATCCCAGAGGTATGGGGTTTGAATCCACCAGATTCTCTACTGGAGAAGGAAGGGCAATCTCCTTCTGTACCAGTCAGATCAATTTGATGGTACACACACACAAATTGCTTTGCTGAGCCCAAGTTTTGTGAACTGTAAAGCAGACATAACTGCATCTATATCATAGAACTGTAAAACAATTATCACACATGTGAAATAACTTCTTGCTATCTGGCAGAGTAAAAATCTTTGCAAAGACTATTAATATTATTTTTTAAATTTTATTTTATTATTTTTTTGTGTGTGTACTGTCAAACTGGATCTGACTGGTACAGGAGGAGATTGTCCCTCCTTCTCCAGTAAAGCATCTGGTGGATTCAAATTACATACCTCTGGGATTGCAGTGCAGCTTCTTGCCACTAGGCCACAAGAACTCCCTTAGTGTTACTATTTTTAACATTGCCTTTAGAAAAGCAAGAACTACACAAACTTAAAATGGATTATTTAAATTGGACATTTAAATCTTGAGACACAAATGGAAAACCAGGCAAATTGATGCTTAATTCTCCAGTCATCACCTTCAGTTTATTCCATTAACTATTAATACCTTAATTTTCAGTTCTTTAAATACCTTAAATCAATTAACTTTTAACAACAACATAAGCATATCAGATCTGCTCCACTGTTCTATTCTTATTACTCCACATCCTTACCTATCTCAGAGATGAGACATCAAATGGAGAAAACAGAGTCTCTCTCTTAACATGCTTCTAACATCAAATCAATCACTGCCACTAAGACGGAATCAATTCTTAGTTGATATTCCAGGGGGTTTTTAGAGGCTCTAACTTTGTGTGTGTGTTCGATATCTCAACCCTATTCTGAAGATGATCATGAAGTTCAGATGGAATTGATTCAAGATCATATCTTGGTTTCTGTGGACTTATTTTCATTTTCTTCGGCCTCAATTTGAACTTTCGTATGAGTAATTGCTGATCTGACCCACAGTCTGCCCCTGGCCTAGTTTTGACTGCTGATATTGAGCGTCTCCAACAATTTCTTCCACAAATGTAGTCAATCTGATTTCTATGCAGCCCAGCAGGTGAGATCCATGTGTAAAGTCATCATTTGTGTCTTCTTAAAAAGGTATTTGCAGTGAATAAATCACTCTAAATAGAAAATTTAATCAGCCCAACTTCACATTACCAAGCCCTAATTTTCAAAATACTATCCCTTCTTCAATGTTTCCTACTTTTGCATTCAAGGCACCAATTCTCATTAATACACTCTGATTGTATGTTCAGTCAATTTCAGATGCAAGATCTGGTAAAAATTCTCAATTTCTTCTATGACTCTAGATATAGGAACGTGTATTTGGATAATAGTCAAGTTAATGCACCTTCCTTGTATGTGTATGGATATTATCCTCTCTCTCACAACATGGTATTTCAGAACAGAACTTGAAATTAACATTTTGACTATGAATGTAACATCATTTTTCTGTTTTTTTCTTCCCTGCATAGTATACCATGTTTTATTTTATTCAAACTGGCCAAACTGGTCCACCTCATCTCACTGATGCCTAGTATGTCGATATTCATGTATTTAATTTCATTTTTAACAATTTCCAGTTTTCCAACATTCAAGCTAAGTACTTTCCATGCTCCAATTGTTAAACGATGCTCTTTATTGCAAAATACTCCTGAAGAGCATTAAAAATGGCTGGAACAATACATAGATAGGGGACTGCCATTAGTTCAAGCAGAGGTCATAGAACCAGGGATTGTTGATGTTGGATGGATCCTGGTTGAAAGTAAGGAATACCAGAAGAATGTCTATTTGTGCTTAATTAACTATGCAAAGGCATCTGACTGTGTAGATCATGACCAGTTGTGACTGACAATGAGAAGAATGGGATTCCCAGAGCATTTCATTGTGTCTATGTGGAACTTAAACCTGAACCAGGAGGCTGTTGTGTAAATGAAGCTGGGGGGCACTGTATGGTCTGAAACTGGGAAGGGAGTGTACCAGGGTTCCATTCTATGTATCTATTCAATTTGTATTTTGAGCAAATTATCCAAGAAGCTGGACTCTTTGAGGAGGAATGTGGCATCAGGATTGGAGTGAGACTCATAAATAGCTTGCCTTATGCAGATGACACAATCTTGCTTGCAGAAAGGGAGGACTTGAAGTGCTTGTTGCAGAAGATCAAGGAATGGAGCCTTTGGTATGGACTGCATCTCAATGGCAAAAAACAAAGATTCTTATCACTGGACCCATAGGCAGCATCATGATGGGTGCAGAGGTGACTGAAATTGTCAACAGCTTCATCTTGTTTATATCCAAAATTAACACCCTTGGTACCAGCCGTCAGGAAATAAGGAGACACACTGCACTGGGAAAATTTGCAGAAAGGGACCTCTCCAAATTATTGAGGACTGAAAATGTCAGTTTAAGAATTAACGTGCATCTGATTCAGGCCATGGTCTTTCTGATCACTTGCTATGCATCTGAGAGCTGGACAATGAATAAGGATGACAGGAAAAGAATTGATGCCTCTGAACTATGGTGCTGGAGAAGAGCACTGAACATCCTATGAATGGCCAAGAGAAAAAACAGATTTGTCTTGGAGAGGATGCAGCCAGAGTGCTCTTTAGAGGCAAAAATGAAGAGGCTTGGCCTCACATACTCTGGACATGTTGCTAGGATGGGCTATTCCTTGGAAAAGGACATGATGCTGGGAAGGGTGGAGGGCTGGTGAAGGAGAGAAAGGCTCTAAGATAGGTGGATAGCCACGTTGAATGCTGCAATGGGCTCTAATGTGTCAGAAAGTGTGGGGATGGCACAGGATAGAAAGAGGTTCAGTCTTTTGTTCATAGAGTTGCTATGAGTTGTACTTGACACCACCTAACAACAACAACAACTACCACTTTGTGTGGGAGACTGTCCATCTCTCTGCCGTAGAGCAGCCGGTGAATTTGAACCATGTGCCTTTGGGTTGGGGGTGAAACTTCATACCCAATAGCCTATCTGAGCTCCTTAACAGAGTTGTAGAGTTAATGCTGCCTTATTTCACTCACTTTACTGAAGTAACGATTCCTTCTTTACTCCCAGGTTAATCCTCAAATTTGCCGGTATGTTCTGGGACCTGTATGATCTATTACTCTATACTCCATCTTACTCTCTGAAGACTCTTACTCTCAGCATAATAAACATGCTTGTTTTCCCTTCTGAAAACTCTTTAACCAGCAAATAGTCATTTTTAGTTCCATTTTCCATTCCTAGACATCCAAATTTCTTGACAAAATGTTTTCCTTCCCCCCCCCGCCCAGAAATTGTTCTGCCCCCTTATCCCCAAGCCAATTCCATTTACTTTTCAACCTGTAGCATCTAGTGGCACCTTTTCATTAAAAGGATAGCTCTCACCAAGGACAGAAAGACTATCCATTTACCCAGTTTATTCAAGACCTCTCATCTTTTACCTCCTTTGAATTCTGTGAACCAGCTGACACTGCTTAACAGCTTCTTGCAAATTCTCTCTTCCCAAGGGCTTCTAGGATTTAATAAGAATTTTCCTGGCATTCTTTTTACTTACCTTGTCCATCTTTTTCATAAGTGCCTTTTAATCTTCTGATGAATTGTGTGTGTGTGGCTTTACTTAAAGTAAAAGCCTTCCTTTCCCATTTCCTATATCTGCCTTGGGTGATCAAGTTACCCCTAATTTAAACAACCACCTATATTTCCATAGCAAGTTGCACTGCTAACACAAAGGTTGCATATCTTTGGCAGTCTGAACCCACCAGAGAGGCTTTGCACATTTCCTTATAACATTCCTTGTCTTCTCAAGCTGTCCTTTAAAACTCTGTTCAGCTCTTTTGTTATCATTTCTTTTTGCTTTAGCTACCTTTTGTTCAACAGCAAGTTTGAGGATCTCTTCTGAAACTCATTTTGGTCTTTCTTTTCCTGTCTTTTTAATGACCTATTGCATTCTTTAGGGAAGATATCTTGGATGCAATCCCACAATTCATCCTCATTATCACTAGGGTTCAATGAATCAAACCTATACTTGAGATAGCTTTTAAATTCTGGTGGGATAAACTAAGGGTCATCTTTTGCTTCTTGGGTACTTGTTTTCATTTTCTTCAGCTTTAATTTGCATTAGCATATGGGTAATTGGTGGTTTGTACGACATCTGAACCCAGACTTTATTTGACTGGTGATACTGAGCTTTTCCTCCATTTGTTTACAAAGATTTATTTCACCTGATTCCTGTGTAGTCCATCAGGTGACGTCCATGTGCATAACCATCATTTATGCTTTTTAAAAAAGTAACTGGCAATGTATAGATAACAGATTATACAAAATTCCATCACACAATCTCCGACTTAATTTCTGTTACCAAGGTCATATTGTCCAACTACAAATCCTTTCTTTCCAACTTTTGCAATCTAGTCACCAACTATTATTAATGCATCTTGAGTGCATGTTCATGTAATTTCAGACTGCAAAAGTCAGTCGTTCTTATGTGTCATCAATAGACTACAACTCATAGAGATCCTATGAACAACAGATTTGAACCTGCCCTCTTCTGTGCCATACTCATCATCTCTGATATATTTGAGTTCATTGATGAAGTCACTGCATCAATCCATCTGGTTGAAGATCTTCCTCTCTTATGCTGACTCTCCACTTTTCCGAATCCTCTGTCTTTTTGCAAGGATTGGTCTCTCCTAACAACATGCCCTAGGTACATGAGACAAAGTTTCACTATCCATGCAAAAGAGAATCCTGGTTGCATTTTCTCCAAGACATATTTGTTAAGAGCCTTTCTCTGATCCTGATGCCACATTCCTCATTATAAAGTTCAGATTTTTGAAAGATTTGTTTACCATACAGATTAAATATGTACAGAGAAAGGATATAGCCCTGATGCAGTAGAAATTATAAATTTCAGTAGTTGGTGTGTATACTGGAATAATAATTGTATCAACAGGTCTTCTTTATATGCATATAGATATTATTTTATCAGTGATAGTATTGTTTTTTACGCTAGATCCTGAATATTCTTTTTGAAGAAAAGATGAGTTTAACACCATTCCTCTGCTGTCTGTCTGATGAAAATGGTCAATACCAGTTCATCTTAGCTCACAAATGCCTTCTATGTCAATCTCAATGTATTCCATTTCAGCTTTGAAAACTTCCAAGTTTTCTATTCTAGACTGATATTTCATATATACGAGGTTCTAATTATTAATGAATGATTGAAGTTGATTCTTGCCAAAGTAGTAAAAGATAGTCTTGCAGTGGATGAAAGCTTTATTTCATTCACATAATTAAGGATGATTCTTGTTTGAGGAGGAAGGTATCTATTGTATTGCACTCGATTACACCTCAGAGGGAAAGTATAATGAATGTTAGGCTATAGTTTTGGTCAACCTAAGGGGCTCATCTTCTGGCACTATAGTCAACAATGTTCTGATACTACTCCAGGGTATTTCAGGGTTTGCTGTTTCATAAGTGAATGGCCAGTCCTGTACTAATAGCTGCTTCTTATCACCATACTTGGGAAAATAATAATTACTATTTACTGAGAGGTTACTGTGTGCCTGGCTGTTCTAAATATCTTATAAACATTAACTCATTTAAGAATAATCACAAAATAATTTTCTATTTTATCTACTATTTTCTTTTGAAATTCTAAGTTTTATTTCAATCTTGCAGATTAGGAAACTGATGTATGAGGTGGTACCTACCTGCATAAATCAACAGTAATAAGCATCAGAGCCAAAACTCACTACCTTGCAGTTTATTTCCAGAACCTTAACTCGTAACTTCCCCATTAGGAAGGACACTGCAGACTGCGTGGTTGTTGTTGCTAGGTATGGCTGAATGAACTACAACTCATAGCAAATCTATAAACAAGAGATGAGGAACTTGTTCAATCCTATACCATCTGTGACATGCTCAAACCATTGAGCACTATCTAGCAGCAGTAGGGAGGATAATCCTAGGTAGGCTGGTAAGGTACCATGAAAAGCAATAATCAGGTCTTTAAAAAAATTATTTATTTCTACAATCACTCATATACATTGTTTAATTCATGTACATTTAGCTTTATACAACAATTTCTGTACGCTGTTTTATAAAATTACTCTTGATTTATGATTTTTTATCCCTATCCCATCTCATCAAGTACCCATTACACCTTGTCTATTCCTTTTCATCTTCCCAATGCGTCCACTAATCTCCACTGTTGTAGTGATTTCTTCTTCCTTTTTCCACACCCCCCTTTCCATTCTCCTTTTCAAACATATCTTGTTCTTAGTTGCTCACTGTAATCGTCATATTGTCCTTAGTAGTTAAATTATATTTCAGTGTAACTCTGAAACACATATAAACAACCTGTATCTTTAAATCCTCTGAGCTGACTCTGACTTACATGACCTTTCATTTTTCTGAGTGCAAAAACGGGCCTTAACAATAAGGAAGGATGGCACAGGATCAGGCAGTTTATCTCTGCTGTACCCAGGATGGTATGAGTCAGAACCAACCCAACAGTACCTAACACCACCACCACCACCACCACCACCAGAAATTAATTACTGAAAGCAAACCAATGTTACTGTCAAATCAGAATGCTATCCTGACGTAAAAGAAGCTAAGGTGTTTATATACTCACGACTCCCAACATCCTCTACAAAAGTCATGTCCACAGGGCATATCCACTGGGTCTTCAAATACAGAAATACTGCACATACAAATATCACACTGGGGATGAAAAGAACAATTATGTAAACAAAGTCAATAAAAGAACACTAGATAAATTTTGTTCTTTAAAAGAAAATAAAGTATAAATTTTAAAGTGTTTCAAGGTTATGAGGGAAGCTAAAGTCAATTTGTCTACCTTTGATTAAATAATATACATCATGCCTACTTCATTATATATTAGAGTAAGATTTAACTGTCTTAATGCAAAAATAAAATTCCAAATGTATGTATTAAATTTATCAACAATTGTACATTTGGAATAAAAGAAACAAACCATTATAATCTATTTAAGTCAAGATCAAATTATATGTTACAAAATAACTACTTTATGTCATATACTTTATGTTTGCCCCTTTAAATATATAAAAACATAGTAATTTTGGTTTTAGTACACCAAGTTGGGATATTAAGAGTAGCAATTTAAGGTCATCAACTCACGAATCTTGGCTATAAAACTGTGTATCTTCTTTTTTTTTTTTTTACAATGTTTTTTATTATTATTTTTTTGTGTGTGCGTGTACCGTCAAATCAGATCTGACTGGTACAGGAGGAGATTGTCCCTCCTTCCCCGGCAGAGCATCTGGTGGGTTCGAACCGTGCACCTCTGGGATTAAAACTGTGTTTCTTAACAATGACTTAAGAGAAGTAAGCTTTATAATGGTATAGACTGTAGTTAAAGAAGTAGAATTCTATTTACCAAAAAGGTAAAATGAAGAGCATTTTCAAATTTATTAGATATTATAATCACTTAAATTATTCAAGAACTGTCAACATTTCCTCTAATAACATACCAATGGTAAGACAAGTACAGATGATGGCAATATTGTTTCTCAATAAAAACCCACCTATTATGGAAATGTATCTAGGTAAGTTAACTCCAAAAGCTATATCATATACATTATCATTAATATGTCACATATATTTTAAAAATTACTTAGCTTTCAAAAAATTATAAAAATACTTTTTACTTTTGGCTTAAAAGATCTATCACAAACTTTTTTCTCATTTTAGAAATTTTGGTATTTATATAATTTCAAGCAATAGTAAAAAAAGTGAAAATACTGTTGGTACATCATCCTAAACATTATGTTTTCTCTTTAGAAATCAATGAAGAAAACTTTTTATTTTCAAAGATCATGAAGTATATTCCATGGTAATAGTAAATAATTACAAAATCAGAAAAATGGACTGAATGCTTTAAGAATAGTTGCTTTTGTTGTGAGTTGGAAGTGACCCATAGCTGACCCACCAGCAGGTTTTCAAGGCAGTAAATCACACATGAGAAAAAGGGATTGCCAATTATTTTCCCATGGAACATATGGTAGATTTGAACTGTGTGCATCTGAGATTGCAGCTCAGCTTCTTACTACGAGGCCACCAGAGCTCCAAAGATTCAGTTATAAGAATATATCAAAGGTTGCATGACCCAAAATAAATATAAATTTAAAGGCAAAAACCCCCACCCCAAAATGATGGGAATTACTTCATCAAATACCAAGCCCTACCAAACTTGTATCCAAATCCCCAGGAGACAAGCTGATTTCATCTGGAGAGGTGACAGAAGAGCGTGTAGTCCGTGGAGTTCGTGGAGAAGGGAGAGTGTCCCATGCATTGTACCCACTTGGCGGTGGAGTTGGCATCTGAACACCTGATCGTTGGCAGCAGTTCTCTGGGTTGGACATCCAAGCTTCAAGTAATTTCTCCCTGTCCCAGTCTTCAAGAAGAAAATAAAATGGAAATTATTATAGGATAATTAATAATTTTTGAATAGCCATGTAATAATAGACGCAACAATTAAAAATTTTTAAAAAGGTTACTTGAAGAAGAAAATTAGTTTATATTGAAGTAGTAATAACAAATGAATCCAGGCATTTGTTTTTATTAATGTTTTCAAACAGAATTTAAACTCTAATTACCTACTGAAAACTTGCAATAAGGTTAATAACCACCAATAAGGTTAACATTTCCATCTCCAGAGTGCTAAAAAAGCAACGAAGTCAGTCTAGATACTAAGATGCATCTAATCCAGGCCATGGTCTTCGCAATTACTTGTTATGTATCAGAGAGCTGGACAATGACTAAGGATGACAGAAGAAGAATCGAAGCCTTTGTATTGTGGTGCTGGAAAAGAGTCCTGAATATACCATGGACTGTCAAAAAAACAAAAAGGTCTGTTTTGGAGAGAGTAAAATCAAGTCTCTCCATGGAGGCTAGAAATTTGACGCTCTGGCACGAAGTCAGGAGAGACCAGTCCTTGGAGAAGGACCTCATGCTTGGAAGAATGGGAGGACAGCGCAGGAGATGAAGACCCTGAATGAGTCGGATTGGTACAGAGATTGAGGCAATGGGGTTGGCGTTTTGGAATTAGTGAGACTGGCTCAGGATAAGGCAGGGTTCTGAGCTGTTGTACACGGGGTTTCTATGGGTCAAAGGCAACTCAGTGGTACATAACAGTAACAACACCACTACGAACAAAAACAATAATCACAAGAGATGTTTTTACTCATCACTTTTGAAATCTGTTAACTTTTTGCTCACGTAGATTTAATTTTGCCTTCTTATAGTTTCAAGAAAAACACAATTTTATAACTGGTCTCACTGGTATTAAGTTATAAATTATTACAAATCTCACTATAGGCTTAACTAAAAAAGATTATCTTCTTATTATGAACACTTTAATAATCATTAGATAAGCAAGTTATTATCATTACAGAGCCATACAAACCTAAGGGACTTTTTTTTGCCTCCTCTATAAATATCCTGTATTCCATTATTTTGCAAGGTATTTTACATGTATTTTTATTACTCAATAAACTTTTAAACTATTATTTAGGTGAAGAAACCAAGATGCTGGGAAGTTAAATTTGTCCAACTTTGTGTATAGATTATCAAAAGTTTAAAATAAATTATTTTATTTCAAAGCTTGAATTTTTCACATCAAGAGTATTAAGGGGTAAATTATTCACCGTAGGTCCATTTAAGAAAATTTTAAAGCTAAAATACAAATATTTATGGAAATTTTCTATCTAACAGTTTTTGACCAATTTAAGTCAATTCATTTGGTGATTTACCAGGATAGGGAATTATGACTTACACATACATAAAAGACAGGGAGTGTGTATTTCTAGCCAAGGAAAGCTTCATGTGTGAAGTAACAGAGCCATTAGCTTAAAAATCTGAATACTTTTGTAAAGTTATAGTAAAAGGTGCTGTGGTTTGAGGAGATGAAAAATAAAGACTGGAAATAAGGGTCAGATTATAAGGAGGAAGAAAACCCTGTAACTGAAAATACTGCATGAACACATTCCAGGAAATGTTGCTATATGAACCCCAGAGTTCAGAGTTCTCTGATTGGTAATTATAATCAACTATGATCATTATATTTCATCTTCTTGTGGTACTGATTACCACTTTAAATTCTGCATTCTTTGAAACACTATTTAGAAAATTATTGCAAATTTACATATCAACATATGCCTCTGTTTCATTGTTAACTGGGGGCTATTCACGCACAAACATATAAATAGTCATCGAGATTTTCCACAAACATTTATGACTTTGCTTCTAAAGTGTGTAACAGAACATTTGGTAAATCTGCTAATGATACAGCTTACCAATAGAAAGGCACCTTAACAAATGAAAATAATCCTCTACCTAAACAGGTATTTATAAAAGGATTATAAGAGATGATGTAACTAAAGAAATGTTCAACACTGAAATTTCTCATAAATTTTTTTTTTTTTTACGTAATCACATGAAGCTCTAGTGGCCTACTGAGAAGAAACTGTGCTGCAATCTAAACATCAGCTTCTCTGTGGGAGATGGATGGGCCATCTCCTCTAGTGAGATTTACTGCTTCTGATAACCCACTGGACAGTCAATGGTCAGTTATGGGTTGGTTCCAAATCGATGGCACATAATAACAACAATCACTCTTCATTTTGACTGAATCACATGCTATTATGATGGGTTCTTAAAACATGATGGGTATGCAGACATTTAAAAATGTTATACTAACCAGAATGAAAATAAGTGAAGACAATTTTTACAGTTTTGGTGTGTTTGCAGTTTTGGGTTTTTTTTTTAAAGTAGCCAAAGGGATTTCCAGTTATACTAGGCATAATAAAATCTGCCATGCTTATTTTCACAAAATACTATTGATTTCAGACTGCAAAAATAAGTTATTTAACCTTTTTAATTCTCATTTTCCTTGTGTGAACTGAGGGTAGTAATTGTACTCTATGGGACAGATATGAGAATTAAAGTATACAACATGCTTGAAAATGTCTAGTATCACTAAATCAAACAGTCTCAATAAATGCTGCCTACAATTTGTTGTAGAAACATTTCATGGTTTCACAAACTGTATACAGTGAAAAGAGAAATGAGTCTCAGCAGTATTAGAAAATTCAAACTTTGGCGAGTAGTTTGAATTTTGGAAAGTTAGAATCATTTGTAAGCTATAAATAAATTATACACGCTGGTTTAAGGGGAATACGAGAAAAAGAAGCGCTCATTAGTCTTATGAAGAATGATGTTGCTGCGTACCACAGAGTTGGAACTGACTCATATAGCTGATCATCTGGAGGATTTTCAGAGGCAGTTAACTGCAAAGAAGGAGACTGCCCGCTCTTCATCAGCCAGCCACCGGTGGCCTCGGACTGTTTGCCTGTGGGATTGCAGCCCAACTTCCTGCCACTAGAGCACCAAATTTCCCTGAAGAAGCTCTGGTGGAGAAAGATAGGCTAAAGTATATATTTAAAAACTCAGTTAACATTATGTGAAAATCTAGTTTACTTTGACTGGAAGTTATTCTACTTAAGAAATTGATTTTTTAAAAAAATTTTAAGAATTTTATACTGGTTTACTTATAAAGTTCATATGCAAAAGATCATTACAAAGGCTAAAGAGGAAGAAATGACCAAGATAGATGTCAGATGAGACTCCGAGTATTGCAATAGAGCGCCGAGAAGCCAAAGCTAAAGGAAGAAATCAAGAAATCAAAGAGCTGAATAGAAAATTTCAAAAGGCAGCTCGGGATGACAAAGCAAGATACTATAATGAAATGTGCAGAGAGCTGGAGTCAGAAAATCAAAAGGGCCGCACTCGCTCAGCGTTTCTTAAGCTGAAGGAGTTGAAAAACCAAATTCAAGCCACAGGTGGCAATACTTAAAAATAATTTGGGTAGAATGTTGAATGATCAAGGAAGTATAAAAAGAAGATGGAAGGAGTACACAGAGTCACTATATCAAGAAGGAACTGGCTGACACAGGAATTTCATGAAATAACATATGAGTAAGAACATATGGTGATGAAGGAGGAAGTTCAAGTTGCTCTGAAGGAATTGGCAAAAAACAAGGCTCCAGGAGTTGACTGCATACCAACTGATTTATTTCAACAGACACTGCCCTGGATGTGCTCACTAAGTGGTGCCAGGAAATCTGGAGGACAGCCAGCTGGCCAACTGACTGGAAGAGATCGGTATTTGTTCACATTCCAAGGAAAGGTGACCCAACAGAGTGTGGAAACTATAGAACAATATCATTGATATCACATACAAGCAAGATTCTGCTGAAAATTATCCAAAAACGTTTGGAACAATATGTCAACAGAGAACTGCCAGATGTGCAGGCTGGATTTTGAAGAGGTTGTGGTACTAGGGATATTACAGCTAATGTAAGATAGATCTTAGCAGAAAGCAAAGAATACCAGAAGAATGTCTATCTGTGCTTCATTGACTCATTGACTTCATTGCTTTTTTTTCCTCTTTTTTAAATTTTAGTAATTTCAATGAACCCGGATTTAAAAAAAAAGTTTTTCTAAGATATTTTATCATAAATCACAGCAAAACATCTAGTTATAAAATACCTCATTTGGAGCTTTCTTTTTAATTTACAAAATATTAACTAAATATTTTAAGTATTACAAAATATTAACTAAAAATGGAAAGAGTTTTGCTTCAGACATTTCAGTGGAACTCTGCTGCTGTAATCTGTGACATGCTGTGCTATGAAACAAATAGTTGTGCATCTACAAGAGTTCAATCCACCAGATTACAGAAGAAAGATAGACTGTCACCTTCCATTTAGATTGTTGTTGTTCTTATTGTTAGTTGCCGGTGAGTATGACACACAGTGACCCTATGAACAACAGATCTGAACCCTGTCCTTCTTATGCCATCCTCATTATCTTTGACATACTCCAGCCAATTGCAGCAGTCACTGTGTCAATCCACCTGCTGAAGGTCTTGTTCAATTTAGTCATCCCTCCACCTTCCCAAGCATGAGGTCCCACTCCAAGGAAGAGCTTCTCCTAGAAACAAATCTGAAATATGTGAGACGAAGCTTTATCATCTTTGCCTCCAAGGAGTACTGTGGTTGCACTTTCTCTACGACATATTTGTTTGTTGTTTTGGCTGTCCCTGGTATATTCAACACTCTTCAACACCACCACAATTTCACGTTTTTTCTGCCAACTAGTGACTTTAACATGTTTTTATGTATTTACTGGCCATTTGGATTTATTCTCGGTGAATAACTTACTTATACCTATTTATCATTTTTCTCCTGGGTTACTGACCAATTTCTTATTACAAGGAGCTTTCTCTGTACGTTATATGCATGTAGAGAGCTCTGGAAGTTGTGATAAGAATCTACGCTGTAATCCCAAAGGGATACGATTAGACTGCTCTACCTCCTCTGTGGGATAAGGATG